AAAAAAAAAAAAGAAAGTCTAGACGGAATTTCTAGAAAATCTAGAAATTCCTGGACACTTACATCCTCCCAAGACTAAACCAGGAAAAATTCAAGTCCCTGAATAGACCAATAAAAAGTTCTGAAATTGAGGCAGTCATTAATAGCCTACCAACGAAAAAAAGCCCAGGACCAGAAAGATTCACTGTTGAATTCTATCAGAGGTACAAAGAGGAGCTGGTACCATTCCTTCTGAAACTATTCCAAACAACAGAAAAAGAGGGACTCCTCCCTAACTCATTTTATGAGGCCAGCATTATCCTGATACCAAAACCTGGCAGAGACACAACAAAAAAAGAAAATTTCAGGCCAATATCCCTGATGAACATCGACGCAAAAATCCTCAATGAAATACTGGCAAACTGAATCCAGCAGCACATAAAAAGCTTATCCACCATGATCAGTCTGGGTTCATCCCTGGGATGGAAGCCTGGTTCAACATATGCAAATCAAGAAATGTAATCCATCACATAAACAGAACCAATGACACAAATCACATGATTATCTCAATAGATGCAGAAAATGTCATTGATAAAATTCAACATCCGTTCATTCTAAAAACTCTCAATAAACTCGGTGTTGATGGAGCATGTCTCAAAATAGCAAGAGGTATTTATGACAAACCCATAGCCAATATTGTACTGAATGGGCAAATGCTGGAAGCATTCCCTTTGAAAACTGACACAAGACAAGGACGCCCTCTCACCACTCCTATTCAACATAGTATTGGAAGTTCTGGCCAGGGCAATCAGGCAAGAGAAAGAAATAAAGTGTATTCAAATAGGAAGAGAGGAAGTCAAATTGTCTCCGTTTGCAGATGATATGATTGCATATTTGAAAATTCCATCGTCTCAGCCCAAAAACTGTTCAAGCTGATAGGAAACCAGCAAAGTCTCAGGATGCAACATCATGATGCAAAAATCACAAGTATTCCTAAACACCAATAGTAGACAAGCAGAGAGCCAAATCATGAGTGAACACCCATTCACAATTGCTACAAAAAGAATAAAATACCTAGGAATACAACTTACAAGGGACGTGAAGGAACTCTTCAAGGAGAACTACAAACCACTGCTCAAGGAACTAAGACGGGACACAAACAAATGGAAAAACATTCCATGCTCATGGATAGGAAGAATCAATATTGTGAAAGTGGCCATACTTCCCAAAGTAATTAATAGATTCAATGTTATTCCCATCAAGCTACCATTGATTTTTTCACAGAATTAGAAAAAACCACTTTAACTTTTCTTATGGAACCAAAAAAGAGCCTGTATAGCAAAGACAATCCTAAGCAAAAAGAACAAAGCTGGAGGCATCATGCTATTTTACGTACTTCATGCTATATTACAAGGCTACAGTAACCAAAATAGCATGATACTGGTACCAAAACAGATGTATATAGACCAATGGAACAGAACAGAGGCCTCAGAAGTGATACTACACATCTACAACCATCTGATCTTCAACAAACCTGACAAAAATAAGCAATGGGGAAAGGATTCCCTATTTAATAAATGGTGCTGGGAAAACTGGCTAGCCATATACAGAAAGCAGCAACTGGACCCCTTCCTTACACCTTACCCCAAAATTAACTCAAGATGAATTAAAGACTTAAATGTAAAATTCAAAACTATAAAAACCCTAGAAGAAAACTGAGGTAATACCATTCAGGACTTAGGCAAAGACTTCATGATTAAAACAACAAAAGCAATTGGAACAAAAGCCAAAATTGACAAATGGGATCTAATTAAGCCAAAGAGCTTCTGCACAGCAAAAGAAACTATCATCAGAGTGAACAGGCAATCTAAAGAATGGGAGAATTTTTTTGCAATCTATCCATCTGACAAAGGTCTAATATCCAGAATCTACAAGGAACTTAAACAAATTTACAGGAAAAAAAACAAACAACCCCATCAAAAAATGGGTGAAGGATATGAACAGACAATTCTCAAAAGAAGACATTTATGTGACCAACAAACATGGAAAAAACCCATCGTCACTGATCATTAAAGAAATGCAAATCAAAACCACAACAAGATATCATCTCACACCAGTTAGAATAGTGATCATTAAATAGTCTGGAAACAGCAGATGTTGGCGAGGATGCAGAGAAATAGGAACACTTTTACACTGTTGGTGGGAGTGTAAATTAGCTCAATCATTGTGGAAGACAGTGTGGTGATTTCTCAAGGATCTAGAATCAGAAATATTCTTTGACCCAGCAATCCCATTACTGGGTATATACCCGAAGGATTATATATCATTCTACTATAAAGACACATGCACACATATGTTTATTGCAGCACTATTTACAATAACAAAGACCTGGAACCAACCCAAATGCCCATCAATGATAGACTGAATAAAGAAAATGTTGCACATATACACCATGGAATACTATGCAGCCATAAAAAGGAATGAATCCATGTCCTTTACAGGGACATGGATGAAGCTAGAAGGCACCATTCTCAGCAAACTAACAGAGGAACAGAAAACCAAACACTTCATGTTCTCACTGATAAATGGGAATTGAACAATGAGAACACATGGACACAGAGAGGGGAATATCACAAACTGGCACCTGTGGGGGCATGAGGGCCAAGGGGAGGGAGAGCATTAAGACAAATACACAATGCATGTGAGGCTTAAAACCTAGATGATGGGTTGATGGGTACAGCAAACCACCATGGCACATGTATAACTATGTAGCAAACCTGCACGTTCTGCACATGTATCCCAGAACTTAAAGTAAACAATAACAACAACAACAAACTTACTATATGTTAAGTCCCTTGCTAGATTCCTTTATATAGTATTAGCTAGTTTGGTGGGGACGGGGAAGGGTGGTAAAGGGGGACCATAAGTCTGTCATCTTGGTGCTTATATTTTGTTTAAGTTTTTTACACAGAACTAAAAATATTAGCTGTTGTATTAGAAATTCTTAAAGACCTACTAATGGCAATACTGCTAAAAGTAACAGCAGATTTCTTAAATACAGCTAGCTTTTCTAATTAAATGCTTGAATGTATACTTTTATAGATCATAATTTATAAGTTTTAAGGTTAGGCACATACCTGTAGTAGAAGATCCATTTGTTTGGTTTGTATTTATACAATTATATGTATAAAAGGACAAAAGTAGGACACAAATAAGAAGATTCATGTCCAGGACTTGGTTCAAATGAGTCTTGTACTAAGGTAACTACTGGTTTTATGTGGTTCAGAGTGTTCTAGGCATTTATGACATCATGACCATTATGTGTCATACTCTGACAACATAATCTCACCATGGTGAAGCATAAGCTTCTGCATACAAATTTTACCAAATGAATTTTTTTTTTTTTGAGACGGAGTTTGGTTCAAGCTGCAGTGCAGTGGGATCATCTTGGCTCACTGCGACTTCCACCTTCTGGGTTCAAGGTGTAGTGGCTCACAGGTGTAATCCCAGCACTTTGGGAGGCTGAGGCAGGCAGATCACTTGAGGTCAGGGGTTCTAGATTAGCCTGGCCAATGTGGTAAAACCCTGTTTCTATTTAAATGCAAAAATTAGCTGGTCATGGTGGTGGGCACCTGTAATCCCAGCTACTTGGGAGGCTGAAGCAGGAGAATTGCTTAAACTTGGGAGGTGAAGGTTGCAGTGAGGCAAGATTCCGCTCCTGCACTCCAGAAAAAAAATTCAAAACAAGAAAATTGAGGCATTATTAATTAGAGAAGGAAATATTTGGAGAGGTAAGGCAAAATGGGATAGATTTCCTGGGGAAGCAATACTGGGCTGAGTTCTGAAAGATAAGTAGGAGTGAATTATGAGAAAAGGAAAGAAGAATTTTCCAAGTGGAGGAGGCATGTGTGCAAAGGCACTGTGATGGAAGGAAGTCTGGCAAGTTTGAGAAACCAAAAGAAGATAAGAGAGTTGAACAATAATGGGGAAGCACAGGAGAGTTTTGGTTTTTTTGTTTGTTAGTTTTTGAGTCAGGGTTTCATTCTGTTGTCCAGGCTGGAGTGAAGTGACACCATCTTAGCTCACTACAACCTCCACCTTCCAGGTTCAAACGAGTCTCCTGCCTCAGCCTCCCTGAGTAGCTGGGACCACAGGCACGTGCCACCATGCCAAGCTAATTTTTGTATTTTTAGTAGAGATGGGGTTTCACCATGTTGGCCAGGATGGTCTCGATCTCTTGACCTTCTGTTATGCCCAACTTGGTCTCCCAAAGTGCTGGGATTACAGGCATGAGCCACAGCCCCTGGCCGTTATTGTTTTTATTGTTGCCAGGACTAGAGTAAATCCCACTTTGCCTCTGGCACAAAATTTAAGGGGTGCATCAAAATTTAGCAATCAAAATAAACAAGATTTTAATGCAATATTTAAAAATAAAAATTAATGCCAAAAATCTATGACCAACAAAATATTGAACATTTAAATAACGACAGGATCTGACACTGCACTTGCAAAACCCTGTGTCCCACTCCCCTCACCCTAATCTCAGCTCTGCATCTTGAGCCTGCAGGGCCGTATTTATTCTTTTCCACTTTAAAAAGCAGAGGGGAAGAGTCTAAGGACTCAGCCAGGTGCTTGACAGGGCTGTGTCCCCAAGACCCCTGGAAATCTCACTAGGTCATTTTCCTCAGATAGCTGCTCCTGAGCCCTTGTGTAATGATTCTTGGTGAAGAATGGCTGCTCCTGGTTTCTCTCTCCTTGGTTCTCCAGAGGTTAACCTGTACCGCTTTTCTGATTTCTGCCATTGTATTTGATTGTCTTGCTCCCAACATCTGGCTGGCACATATCTATAGGAATCAGTAGTAGGAAAAGCTCCTAAGCTCTTCCCAGCACCCACATGGCAAGTTTGAACCCTTGCCCTCATCCAGATGAGAGGAAGGACTCTTTCTGGGGTTGCCACCTTGGGGATTTCTACTTCCCTCCTCTTGACCTCAATTGACAGTGCAATTCCACCTTAGGCCTTCAACATTTTCCCCCCATTTGATTTTTTTAATTAAAAAAATAATATATGCACCTTATAAAAATTTCAAATCACACAGAGGTATTTCAGACTTCCTTTATCCCTTGAGGTCTTCTGACATTTTAAAATTGCTTTAAATATTCCTTACTCACAGCTTGCAATGATACCTGAGTTCTTCATCTCTATTTTTAATTACATTTTAAAATTGCATTAGGAATATATTAATATTAACCCATTCTCATTATGAAAAATACAAAATACAGACATATACAGAATAAAACATTATAGACTGTTTTCCTTCCCCACTTCACTCTACCCCATTCTGGAGACAATGACACAAAAATTTGATGTGCATCTCTCAGATCTCTTTCTACATATTTGCATGCATATCTATGTACATGATGCACACACATACTACATAAAAATGGGATCATTCTGTAAGCATTCCTTTTCAGTGTTTAAAAAATATCACACAACGATTCATATGCTGATATTCATAGCAGTATTATTCACAATAGCCAAAAGGTGGAAACAACCTAAATGTCCATCAACAGATAAATGGATAAACAAAATATGGCATATGCATACAATGGAACATTAGTCTTAAAAAGGAAGGAAATTCCAATACATGATACAACATGAACGAACCCTGAAAACATCACGCTAAGAAATATGCCACATATTGTATGAGGTACTTAGAGTGGTCAAATTCATGGAGACAGAAAGTAGAGTGGTGGTTACCAGGGCCTGGGTTGAGTGGGGAAAAGGGAATTATTGTTTAATAGGGACAGAAGTACAGTTTGGGATGATGGAAAACTTCTGGATATGGTTGTGAGGATGCCTGTACAGCAACATGAATCTGCTTAATGCCACTGATGTGTATACTCAAAAAGGGTTAAAATGGTAAATTTTGTTATATTAATTTCTACAATAAAAAAACAAAAAACAATATATAACTAATGCTTAAATCATTTCCTTGTAAAAAAGAAAAAAAAGTCAGATGTAAACATTTATAAGGCAAAACATGACTGACACCCTTGACCACCTTCCATCCCATTCTTCTTTTCCGAGGTAATGACTGATATATGTTCCTTGAGTTCCTTTTCTTTGCATTTACATATATTACAGAGCATAGATCTGGAGCCAAAATGGGTTGAAATCCTCGCTCCACCGTTTACTAGCTGACTGACCCTTGGACAAGTTAACGTCTAAGTTCTGTATTTTAAGATCCACATCTGGAGGCCGGGTGCAGTGGTTCACACCTGTAATCCCAGCACTTTGGGAGGCCAAGGGGGATGGATCATTTGAGGCCAGGAGTTTGAGATCAGCCTGACCAACATGGTGAAACCTCACTTCTACTAAAAATACAAAAATTAGCCAGGTGCGGTGGTGGGCGCCTGTAGTCCCAGCTACTCGGCAGGCTGAGGCAGGAGAATTGCTTGAACCCGGGAGGCAAAAGTTGCAGTGAGCTGAGATCATGCCACTACACTCCAGCCTGGGTGACAGCAAGACTCTGTCACCAAAAGAGAAAAAAATCTATGTCTGTAAGAAGATTCATAGATATTTCTTGGCTTCTGCTAGGTTTTGAGTTTTTTTGATCTTGCTCCTCTAGCTCTTTCAATTTTGATGCTAGGGTTTCAATTTTAGATCTCTCCTTGCTTCTCATGTGGGCACTTATTGCTATATATTTTCCTCTAGAGACTGATTTAAATGTGTCCCAGGGATTCTGGTATGTTGTGTCTTCGTTCTCGTTGGCTTCGAAGAACATCTTTATTTCTGCCTTCATTTCATTGTTTATCCAGTCAACATTCAAGAGCCAATTGTTCAGTTTCCATGAAGCTGTGCAGTTTTGAGTTAGTTTCTGCATTCTGAGTTCTAACTCGATTGCACTGTGGTCTAAGAGACTGTTTGTTATGATTTCCATTCTTTTGCATTTGCTGAGGAGTGATTTACTTCTAATTATGTGGTCAATTTTAGAGTAGGTGTGATGTGGTGCTGAGAAGAATGTATATTCTGTGGATTTGGGGAGGAGAGTTCTGAAATGTCTATTAGGTTTGCTTGGTCCAGGTCGTGAGTTCAGGTCCTGGATATCCTTGTTAATTTTCTGTCTGGTTGATCTGTCTAATATTGACAATGGGGTGTTAAAGTCTCCCACTATTATTGTGTGGGAGTCTAAGTCTCTTTGTAAGTCATTAAGAACTTGCCTTATGTATCTGGGTGCTCCTGTATTGGGTGCATGTATATTTAGGATCATTAGCTCTTCTTGTTGCATTGATCCTTTTACCATTATGTAATGATTCCTTTATTCAAAAAATCAATAATCCAGGAGCTGGTTCTTTGAAAAGATCAACAAAATAGACAGACCAATAGCCAGATTAATAAAAAAGAAAAGAGAGAATAACCAAATTGATGCAATAAAAAACAATAAAGGGGATATCACCACAGATTCCACAGAAATTCAAACCATCATCAGAGATTATTACAAACAACTCTATGCACATAAACTAGTAAACCTGGAAGAAATGGATAAATTCCTGGACACTTGCCTCCTCCCAAGCCTAAACCAGGAAGAAGTTGAAACCCTGAATAGACCAATAACAAGGTCTGAAGTTGAGGCAGCTATTAAGAGCCTACCACCCAAAAAAAACCCAGGTCCAGATGGGTTCACAGCCGAATTCTACCAGACATACAAAGAGGAGCTGGTACCATTCCTTCTGAAACTATTCCAAATAATCCAAAAAGAGAGAATCCTTCCCAAATCATTTTATAAGACAAACATCATCCTGGTACCAAAACCCGGCAGAGACTCAACAAGAAAAGAAAACTCCAGGCCAATATCCATAATGAACATAGATGCAAAAATCTTCAATAAAATAGTGGCAAGCCAGTTGCAACAGCACTTCAAAAAGCTTATCCACCATGATCAAGTAGGCTTCATCCTGGGGATGCAAGGCTGGTTCAACATACACAAGTCTGTAAACGTAATTCACCACATAAACAGAACCAAAGACAAAAACCACATGATTATCTCAATTGATGCAGAGAAGGCCTTTGACAAAATTCAACAGCTCTTTATGCTAAAAACTCTCAATAAACTAGGTATTGACGGAACGTTTCTCAAAATAATAAAAGCTATTTACGACACACCAACAGCCAATATCATACTGAATGGGCAAAAACTGGAAGCATTCCCTTTGAAATCTGGCAC